TTCGGGCCAGGGCTTTAACCCGCTGAGCCACAGAGCTGGCCCCAGTATGTGTTTTTGATATTGCAGAAATCATCATGGGATTTTGATAGATTGCATTAAATCTGTAATTTCTGTAGGTGGTGTTGACATTTTAGCAATGTTAAGTTTCCCCATCCATGATTATGACATATCTTTCCATTTATGTTTTCTTCTTAATAATTTCTTTCAGAATTCTTTTATAGTTTCTATTATATAAGTTAGTTCCTGAGTATATCCTATTCTTTTAAATATTTTTGTAAATAGACTTTTTGTCTATTTCATTTCCAGATTATTCTGTGTTTGTATATAGAATTGTAACAGAATTTTGTGTTTAGACTTTGTGTCTTGCTACTTTGGTGACTTCATTAGTATTTTTTTCCTCCCAAGATTTACTGATTTTTTTTCTTAAAGGCAGTTACAGAGAGAGAAAGGGAGAGAGAGATCTTCCACCCACTGTTTGACTCCCTAAATGGCCACATTAGAAGTCATTTCAGCAGGAAGGAGAGGGATTTGTGTCAAAGGAAGGAGGTGCAGCACAAGTGGCTGGCCCCTTTTCATCTGCCCTTCTGTTATCGAAGCAGCAGTTTGCAAGCAGAGCACAGAACCCCAGTAGTATAGGGCAAGAATCATTTTGCCAACCCTAGCTCTCAGGTTGCTCCAGGAGTTTTTTGTTTTTGTTGATTTTTTTTTTAAAGATTTATTTATTTATTTTAAAGAGGCTGAGGCAGAGGAAGGGAGGGAGGGAAGAAGGGAGGGGGGAGGGGGAGAGAGAGAGAGAGAGAGATAATGTTTTTCATCCACTGGTTCACTCTCCAAATGGCTGCAACAGCAGAGCTGGGCTGATCAGAATCCAGGAGCCAGGAGCTCCTTCCAGGTCTCCCACGCGGGTACAGGGCCCCAAGCACTTGAGCCATCTTCAACTGCTCTCCCAGGCCATAGCAGGGAGCTGGATCAGAAGTGGAGCAGCTGGGACTTGAACCAAAACCTATATGGGATCCTTTCACTGCAGGTGGTGGCTTTACCCACCATGCCACAGCACTGGCCCCTGCTGCAGGAGTTTGAGGAGTAGGGGCTGGTGGCTTATTGTTCTAGGAACTGAAATTGGCTGAAATGAATCACAGTTTTTCAACCAAGCCTTCCCCTGGAACTTGAAAGTCTTAGTCAACTCCAGCGTTCCAAAATAGTTAGATGAGACAGATTCCTACCAGAGACTGAGTCTGCCAGTGCCATTTTTGTCTACATGGGGAGATAAATTCTTGCTGCTTCCCAATCTGCTGTCTTCCCGGAAACTTTTCTGTTTAAATTTTGAATCTACTGGAGACATTTAATGTATAAAACCTTTTATTATTATTGATGTTATTCATTTCAAACACCTTTAAATAAGCATCAATTTTTGGGTTTAAAGTGAAAATTTTCCCCTTGATTATTTTTATTTTTTTAACATTTTTTATGGTGACAGTATTTATAATTTCTTATTTAGCTTAGACAAATTTGATCTCAAACTTATAAAAGGCTGCAGAAATTCAGTAAAATTCTTGGCCTATCAAGGCTAATATTTAAATGATTATTTTTAATATCAAGAAATTATTTACTCAAAACAAATCTAGTAAGATTTGAAGTAGTTGTATTTGTTATAGAAGAAATCTAAAGTCATATTGATGAATGTAAATAACTTTTTAAATGTCCAAGTCTTTGTTTTAAATTTAGATTTATTTATTTGAAAGAGGGACAGAGAGCTAAAGGGAGAGTGAGAATGAGACAGAGAGAGATATCTTTCACCTACTGGTTCACTCTCCAAATGTCTGTAATAGTCAGGACTAGACAAGGCTGAACATTGGGGGCAGAAACCCAAGTACTTGGGCCATTATATGCTGCCTTCCCACATGTGCTAAAAGGAAGTTTGTTCAAAAAAAAAAAAAAGGAGGTGCCAGGACTCAAGCCAGCTCTCTGGTTGGTGGATGGTGGCGTAACCTTCTTTGCCACACACAAAAATTGTCCTGACAATTTTTAAAGTGGAATTTTGGCTTCTTGCTTTTTTTCTGTTTTAACTCTTTTTCCCTTTCATCACCTCTTCTTCTTCCTGTTTTTTGATTTTATTTATTTATTTGAGCTGTATAGTTATAGACAGTGAGAGGGAGAGACAGAGAGAAATGTCTTCCATCTGCTGGTTTACTCCCTAAATGACTGCAATGGCAGGGCTGGGCCCATCTGAAGCCAGGAGCCTCCTCTGGGTCTCGGACATGCTTGGGCCATCTTCTACTACTTTCCCAGGCCACAGCAGAGAGCTGGATTGGAAAGGGAGCAGTTGGGACTAGAACTGGTGCCCATTTGGGATGCTGGTACCTCAGGTGGAGGATTAACCTACTGCACCACAGCGTTGGCCCCCTACTTTTTTAAAACAATTATTTGAAAGAGTTAGAGAGGAAAAGAGGAAGAGACAGAGAGGTCTTTCATCTGCTGGTTCACTCCCCAATTGGCTGCTATGGCCGAGGCTGGGTGGGGCTGAAGCCAGAAGCCAGGAGCTTCCTTCAGATCTCCCATGTGAGTGCAAGGGCCCAAGCACTCAGGCCATTCTCTGCTGCTTTCCCAGGTGCATTAGCAGGGAACAGGATTGGAGGTGGAGCAGCCAGGACTCAAACCAGCACCCCTGGCATCACAGGCAGTGGCTTTAACCACTATACCACAGTGCTGGCCCTTCCCTTGCCCTTCTGTTAACTAAGGGTTTTTTCTTTTAAAAATTTAATTATTTGTTTGAAAGACACAGAGAGAGAGACAGACAAGATATCCTTTCTGATGGTTCACTCCTCAAATGCTCGTAACAGCTGAGGCTAGGCCAGGCTGAAGCCAAGAGCCTGGAACTCATTCTTGGTCCCCCACATGGGTGGCAGGGACCCAGTTACTTACGTCATCACCTGCTGCCTCCCAGGATGCACATTAGCAGGAAGCCAGAATTGGATGGAGCTGGGACTCAAGCCCAGGCACTTCAGTCTGGGAGGGATGCAGGTATCTCAAGTGATGTTTGAACTGATAGACCAAAGCTTTGTCTGATTTCTCATTGGTGTATCTTTGTCTTGGTGCAGTGATATTAAGAGTACAGATCTCTGGCCCATAACAGAAAAGTCTTTGAACCCAGAACATTTAGGAGAAATTGTCAGTGTTTCCACATCTCATTGACTTTACAGTGCCTGTGCTTTGTAAAGCATCATGTAATTTTGCATGCTATTAAGAGAAGAAAATACTGGCATTCAAAATTATAAGACATGGGGTAAGTGAGTGGCCTCGTGGTTAAGATACTAATTAAGACGCTCATCTTGGACCAGTATTGTGGCACAGTGGTTAGGCCAACAACTGCAACACCGGCATCCCACATGGCTGCCGGTTGGAGTCCCAGCTGCTGCTGCCGCTGCTGCTCCTCTTCTTTTTCTTCCTTTCCTCCTTCCTTCCTTCCCTCCTACCTTCCTTCCTTCCCTCCCTTCCCTTCCTCTTCCTCCTCCCCCTCCCCTTCTTCCCCTTTTTCCCCTTCTCCTCCCCTCCCCTTCCCTTTCCCTTTCCTCCATCCTCTCCTTCTCCTTCCTCCTCCCTTCCCCATCTCCCTTCCTCCTTCCTTCCTTCCCCTCTCTTTCCCTTCCTTTCCTTTCCCCTCTTTCTTTTCTTGCCTTCCCTTCTCTAGTCCTTTTTCTTCTTTCTTCTTTTTAAAAAGATGTTTGTTTATTTGAAAGGCAAAGTTGCAGAACGCACGTATGCATACACACAGAGATCTTCCATATGCTGGTTTATTCCCCAAATGGCTACAGCAGCCCCCAGCTCCAGTTTCCTGCTCATGTACCTGGTAAGGCAGCAAAGGATGCCCCAGGTACTTGAATCCCAGAACCCACATGGGAGACCAGATGGAGTTCTTGGGTCCTGGTTTCCATCTGGCCCAACCCCTGCTGTTGTAGCCATTTGGGGAGTGAACCAGTGGATGGAAGATCTCTCTCTCTCTCTGTCTCTCCTTTGCTCTGTAACTGCCTTTCAAGTAAATAAATAAATCTTTTAAATCTTTAAAAAAAAAAAAGGTCAATCAAACTATTGTACTTGATTGGTACCTGGCTCTGGCTTCCTGGGAGGAAGTGGTGATGGGCCAAGTGATTAAGTTCCTGCTATGCAGGTGACCTGGATTGAGGAACTGGACTGAATGAATGAGCTCCTGGCTTCAACCTCTGCCCCTGGTAGTTGTGGGCATTTGTCAAGTGGACTAGTAGATGAGCTGGCTTGCTATCTGTATCTGGCCTCTCAAATAAAAAAATTAAAAAGTAAAATAAGGCAAATTAATTCAGAGATGTATCTCTGTGTCATGAATGGTAATTTCTGCAAAGTATATACCTTAGAGTGTTTGAAATTTGATATATGTCTGAAAAGTATGCCCCTATCCTACAACATGTAACAAGTAGCCTTGTTCTTTGTTTTGTAATGCTCCAAAAAAAAAAAAAAAAAAAGGAAATTATTTAGCCATTTTTCATGTTGAGAAGCTGATAAAAATTTGATTTTCACCTTGTTTCTGTAGTTTCTCTTTGTTAGATATAGGTTCAATGAGGTTTTTAGTGCCTATCATGTATTGGCCCTTCTCATAACAGAAACCAATATTTATGTAGGTTTTACTGTATGCTAGGTACTATTTTGAGTACTTTATATAATTTCAAATAACTCAGTTTTACAGTATTCCTCTGAGATGAGTGTGGTTATTATCCCATATACCAAAGTGGAAATTGAGGTATAGAGAAGTTAAAAGTCTTGATCGGGTCATATACTAGTAAGTGGTGGGGCTAGGCTTTGTAGGTCATTGACTGCACAGGCCGTCCTGTTAGCAGTATTCCCAAGCACAGAGAGATAAGTAAATTCTTCCTGCCCACCAGCTGTCAGGTGGTATTCGAAGGTGTTTTGATAAGTGTACATGAAATTAGTAAGTTATACTTTTGGTAATTAATTTTCATTTCTATTTTTAGGACATTCAGTCAGAAGAAGGCTGCTATTGAAAGAGAATATGCACAGGTAAGCTTGAAATTGGAGGTCTCCATTCTAGGTATACCTCTTTTTCTTGGCTTAAGAGCAGATAAAGTTGTTGCAAAGAAGCCTTAGTATCCCCACTTCCTCTTTTACTTTTAATTTCCATCTCCATTTGATCTCTGCCATTTAAATCTTCAAATGAGGAGTTGTTATTCCTTATTACAAAAAAGCTTGTTAACCTTCTGAATGAAAATATTGTAAAATCATTTACCATATGTAAATTGTATATATTGTATATACGGTTGTATATATTGTAAATACTATTTACAATATATATAGTTACAAGTATGAATGATGACATACATTTTAAGTATATTCATTCATTCTGTTTTATATGTCCCATTCTTTGCAGTTTATGAAAGATTCACTTATTCAGTTAAGCATTTAGTTCTCATGAGCCTGTTGGCTTTCAGTGGATAGAATGGAGCCATTTAAAGTTGAACATTTCATTCTTTAATTTTATTATTATTATTTAAAAATAATTCCTTTGCCTTTTTTAAAAAAAGATTTATTTATTTGAAAGACAGTTACAGAGAGAGGGAAACACAGAGAGAACAAGAGAGAGAGAGAGAATTGATGATCAATCAATCTGCTGGTTCACTTTGCAAATGTTTGCAATAGCCAGGTCTGACCCAGGCTGAAGCCAAGAACTCCATCCTGGTCTCCCACATGGGTGCAGGGTCCCAAGTACTTGGGCCATCTTCCACTGCTCTCCCAGGCACATTAGCAGTGAGCTGGAGCAGAAGTGAACCACCATGTCTTAAAATGGTGCTCATACGGAGTGCCAGCATTGCAAGCAGCAGCTTAACTGTTACTCTGTGCCACAAATGCTGGCCTCAGTTCTTTTATTTTAATTATGTCCTTATTTGTGCCCCTAATAGTTAAATTTGCCTAGAAAAAATTATGTTGCTACTTGATTTTAAGATGTGTAAGAATCTATATTTTCATGCGTAAAAACAATTTAATAGAATTTGAGAAATGTGGTCCTTTTTGAGCAACACCTTCCTGTATGGAGTAGAATTGTAAAACTGTTCTCCCTAACACACCCAATTGTAGGAGACATTTTTGTGGGGATGGCATTGTGGCATAATGGGTTAAGCTGTAGCCTGCAGTGCCGGCATCCTATGTGGTTTGGTCCTGGCCACTCCGCTTCCAGTCCAGCTCCTTGATTACGTGCCTTGGAAAGCAGCAGAAAATGCCCAAGTAGTTGGGTCCCTGCACCTGTGGGAGACCCGAATGAAGCTCCTGTCTTTAGCCTGGCTTAGCTCTGGTCATTGGGGCCATTTGGGGAGTGAATACGTGGATGGAAATTCTCTCTTTTTCTTTCTCTCTGTCTCTTCCTCCCTCTATAACTGCCTTTCAAATAATAATAATAAAGGGCATTTTTGTGGCAGAATTTTGAAATACAGAACTTTAGAGAGAAAATCAGCGTATAGTAAATGCTGTGCATGAGAAACACTATTACTACTATTGCTTGTTCTTACTATAATGAGATGAAAGTCTGGTTTTCTTTTTTGTGCTTTGTCAGATTTTATTCCAATTTCATTTATTTGATGGGTAGCTATCTATATTTGATATGGTAGTCTTCAAATTTCTTGAACTCAAGATTCAAATTTGTGTTCAAGCTTATCAATGCTTAAAGTAACGAATAGCATGAGTTCTGGTGTTTATACTGAGCTTTTCCCTTATGCATTTATGATTACTAGTAATGATAGGTAACATTTGTTGAATCCTTTGTACTGGACTCTTTGATGAGTATTTTTACATTTGTTATTTGGTTTACTCCTCTTAATGCTGTCTAATGGGAACAGAATGTCCTTTACATATACATTTTCATACATGTAAATATATATGTAGATGTACAAAATTGAGATGATTTTTTAAAACAATACAAAGTAAAAGTTTTATATGATAGAGTCTTCTGTAACAAAATTTGTTTTTATCAAGTAAATAGGACATGTTTGTGATTAAAAATGTAAAATAGTACATTAAATTGCATGAAAATTAATTGTATTTTGTTCCTTTCCCTGTCTCCTTTATCAAAGGAAAGATTAAAAGCGGGTGCTTATTTTGCTTCTTCTGGTTATTATTTCCATAACTTTAAATAACATACTTAATTATCTTGATTTATCAATTCTATACATTATCATTGGTTACTTATAGTAAATGAGAAACTAATTTACTAAATCATCCCTTTCCAGCCTGCTCTATAGTTGTGACATATTTTTAGTGCCTTTATTACTTTTGTAACTCTAAATGATGTGTTTAAACTTCCATCTTTTTTATATGTTACTTCTGTGTATGGGTTTATGTATACCTACATTTACATATATATGTGTGTACATCACACACTGGGTTAGATTTTACAGAACAAATTTACCTTGAAAAGTTTCTTTAAATGTGTTTTAAGAGTATACATGGTTTTGTTTGAGTATTATATAACAATGTATGTAAGCTATCTGAAATATCTAATATATATTTCAAAAGTTCATAAGGTAATCATATGTAGAAATTAAAATGCTCCAATATCTTTCTGCTTGGGACAATTGGGTACATTTGTGGAAAGTCAATATGCTGTCTGTTCTTGTCTCTTGTCATCATACTTGCTTTTTGATGATTTTCCTCATTTCCCCTTACTCTTCAACGTTTTGCTAATTAATTTTTCAGTTTATTTCTTGAGGATATAGATAAAAATGTTTCTGTACTCTTTGTTTACCTAAAAAGTATTTTTGCTTCTTGTCAGTAGTGGAGAACTCCCTAAAATAGCTGACACATTTTTTCTATAGATTTTTGCCAATATGATTATATTAGGCCTGTTTGCAGACCCTGAATGAGGTTCTGCCCCTTTTGGTGATAGGACCTGATCAGAGAGGACAGTTGTACTATTTACATTATTTCTTTTTTTTTGCTTTTTTTTGGCTTCGTGTAAACTTTGGGAGATTGGTTTTTAAAAATTGAAATATAATGTATATAATGTATATGCTGAGGTGGATAAATCCTGAGTGTACCATTTGATAAATTTTTGTGAACATAGTTTGTAACTAATACCGAGATTAAGATGGTGGGACATTACTAGGGCCCCAAAAGCAGTCAGTACACATACATTTCAATGGTCACCAGCATTCTGTTTGAATTTAAATGATGTCTTGAGTATGTACACTTCTGTGTTTGATTTCTTTCATTTAGCATCAGGGTTTTAAGCTTAATATATATTTTTGCAGGTAAGTTTATTTGTTCATTCTGATTCCTTACTTTATAGTGTCCACTGAATGAGTGTATCAGAATTTGTTTTTCCAGTGTACTGATGATGGGAATTTGAGTTGTTTTGAATTTTGGATGATTTTGACAAATAATTCTGAGCAGGGGTTTCATACATGTCTTTTGGTGGACATATGTACATATTTATATTTGTTATAAACCTAGGAGAACTGTTGGTCACTGGGTGTGTGTATCTTCTGCTTTATAAAATATAGCCAAACAGTTTTCCTAAGTGATCATACCAGTTTACACTCCGACCAGCAATGTATAAGAGTTCCAGTTGCTTCACATCTTTGCCAACATTTTGGATTCTCTAAAAGCAGAAGGACTGATGTTTTGATGAATGTGTTGGGAATATCACATTTTCTCTTAATAAGCCTTTTAAAAATTGATTTATGCATATAGAGAAATGTGCAGGTTTTAAGTGTGTAGCTCTATGAATTTTCAAAGTGAATCTACCTATGTAACTAGTACCTAGGTCAAGAAATAGAGCATTAACAATGTCCCCAAAAACTCTTCTGGTTCCCTGCCTTTCTTTACTGCCCTTACCGTCATGCAAGGAATCCACTATACTAACTTTTTTTAAAAAACAAAACAAAACCCCGAAGACAGCTTTATTGACATGCATGATTAACCCACGATAAACTGCACAGTTTATAATTTGATAAGCTTTGACTATGTGTATGTTTTTGAAATTACTATCACAATCAAAATAAATAAATGCATTTGTAAGCCCACAAAGTTTTCTTGTGTCCCTTCCATCCCTTCTCCCCATTGTCCTCAGGTAACCTTAGAATTTTACTTTAATAAATGGAATCATGTAGTATATACTCTCTCTGCCTGCCTTTCAGTCAGCATACTTATTTTGTAATTTAAATATATGTGTCAGTATTTCTTTTGTTTTTATTGCTGGGGGTACATTGTAAGAGTATGCCATCATTTATCCATTTACCTGTTGATGAACATTTGAGTTACATATGTCTACATTTATAGGTAGATAGTTTCATTTCTCTTGAGGAAATACATAGGAATGGAATGGCTAAGTCGTTTTTAACTTTAAAAATAACTGCCAACTCTTTTTTTCTGAAGGGGTTGAGCCATTTTGCTTTCCCATCAGCAGTATGAAATAAATATTTCCTATGACTTTGTCTGTGTCAGGCCTGGTCCCAGGGAATGTTTTTTTTTTCCATCTTAGCCTCTTCAAGAGTTTCCTAACTTAGAATAGAAGAATAGAGGTGGTGGGGAGAGAGAGAAATGGATGCACCTGACCAAGGAGGCCTCCCTCAGCCTGGCAGGTGAGCTAAGAGCTCTCAGTATGTGATAGTTTCAGTTGCTCCACATCTTTCCCAACACTGATTTTTGATACTGTAATAGATGTGTAGTGGTATTCATTGTAGTTTTAATTCATCTAATATCTAATGATATTAAACATCACTTGCATATGTTTATTTGCTATCTATATATATTCTTTGGTGAGGGGATTATTCAAGTTTTTTTTCTGCTTTTTAAAAAATGGGCTTTTTATTGATTTTTTAAAACTTCTTATGAAAAGTTTTCGGACATATGTGAAAGTAGAAGGACTTGCACAGTGAACTCACTCAGTTCAACTATTGCCACAATACGTTACTGAATTTACTTTATTTGTGGTTTCTCACTGCTGCTCCTTGCTGGTTACCTTTGAATGTTTAAAATGTACTTACTGGAGAAGGAGTGGGAGAGGGAGAGGG